GCATTAACCAGAGAGGCCTGGGGTGAATGTTAGCCATTTATCCTCTCTCAGCCTCAGTTTCCTCATCTACAAAGACAATATTTACCCCACCTGTTTGTGAGCAGGAAATGAGAAAATGTCCTTGGGGGCATTCAGTAGAGTGGCACCGTCCCTCCTTCTCCCCAGCACTGCAAGCTGGTCACTCAAAGGAGAGCAAAGCAGGTGTGAAAAGAAGGCTGAGTACCCTACCAGCTACTGTGGAGAAAGGCTTTAAAAAAGAAAAGAAAAAGGCAAAGCAAAGAATACGGAGTTTAAGATGGAGCTATGTGCTACGACAATTCCCTGCGGAAAGGGACCAGGCATAAAGATGAACCATGCGCTCTGGCCAGTGTGGCTCAGTTGGCTGGGCTTTGCCCCACGTACCAAAAGGTTGCTGGTTTGATTCCCGCTTAGGGTACATGCTGGGGTTGTGGGCACGATCCCTAGTAGGGGACATGCAGAAAGCAGCCGATTGATGTTTTGCTCTCACATAGATGTTTCTCTCTCTCCCACTCTTCTTCTCTCTCTCTAAAAATCAATAGAAAAGTCTCAAATAAAAAAATAAATGAATTGTGCATTCTCCCAGCCCTGCCACCTTGTCATCACCAACCTTGACACCTGGAGCAGAAAGGAGTCGCTCACTCGATGGAAGTCCTACGCAGCCCATCCCGAGTGGGTAAGGAGACTAGCCTTTTTCTTGACTCAATCAACTACGTGTGTATAGTGTCTGGGGTTAGCAACGGGTCTTTTGGGGGAGTGGGAACTTGCTTCCAAATTGCCTTATAATCTGTGTGGTTGTGTCTCTACAGCTGACGGCACCCCAGTCTCCCTTTCCTGGAGAAACTCCCGCATGTGTTTTAGTTTCCCACTTGGAATCCTGAAGGGCAAGATCTGTGTCACATTCAGCTTTGTGGTCTCCTATAAACCTAAGGTGGAGCTAAATAAGTATCTGTCATTACAATGAGAGAAAGAACAAATCCTGAAAAGGGTTGAGTTTTTGCTGCCAAGATAGGGCAGGACCCCCTGGGGACCTCAGGGACACTTGAGGAATTTGGAGCTTCGAGAGGTCTGACTTTTGGAGGCCTCAGAGAGGCTTAAACTGTGGAGAACAGGAATGAGAGGTCAGTCAGCTCACGGGTGCGCTTCAGGGGGACAAAAAGATGGAACTGAGGTTTCTACAAGAACATTCCCACCACCCAAGTGTCCCTTTTCTAGACCTGGGTGTGCCTGATCCTGGGGGTGGTCTCAGAGGCCAGAGGGAAGCCACGTCCGAGGGAAGTTCTACGCAAAAAACGACACTGGACCTAGCGACGTGATCAATGGTGTTATAATGCGCCGTGACTCCCGAAAGCAATTTGTTGGGGCACTTGCTCTGTAAGCACCACGCTGGTGAAGGCCTTTTACAGTACGCGCTACAGTGGGAGAGACCCTCAGAAAAGCCCAGTCACTTCTAAACCCCACTGCTAACCAGTCAATCAGCTTCCGAAAAGCTCTCATGTGGAAGCTTCACCTGGAACCCCCAGCTGTGGATTTCCAGCACCTTCTACAATCCTCTCGAAACTTTCCCTAAAGATATCACCAAAAAAAAACAAAAAAAAAACCGCTAAGTTAAAAACACAAAGCAAAGACAGCTTTCTCATAATACAGAAAAAGTCACTCGGCTGACCTACTAAATCTCTGAATATGATGGGTGAGAAGTGGAGGGATCTTTTATATTGTCAACCAAATGCACTCTACTCCTCGTTACTGAATTACTTTCGATGTCTTTAGGGACCTGAAAGAGACATGAAAATCCAAATTCCAAACGTGGTCATCACACGCTCTTATTATTTCCCGTGCTATGTTATAGATACCTGCCCCTTTTCCCCCCTCAAGTTCGAAAATCACGAATAGAAGCTAAGTGCTATTCAGCTGTGTTCTCTATTTACCAACAGACTCTGGGATTTTTCCAGCATTCCGTATTTTTACAACTCCAAGCACACCTCACAGAACTATGTAACCCTCGTCTGGGTGTGAGAAAGGAAAAACTGATGCAACTAGTCCATCCTGTGTATGAACCTGGGCACAGCTCAGCTGGGTTTTAAAAAATACTGTGTCATTTTCCGAAGGAGAATTTTAAAGATGGGTGGGGTGGGGTGGGGTGGGAGGGGATGGGAAAGAAAAGCGTAAGGAAAATGTCTTCTCTGATTTCCTCCTCCAAGAAGAGCAGAAAAGAAGTCAGTTTTGTGTGGTGAAAGGTAGACTGTTCATTTCTTCTATACATTTTATTGTTATGGAATACCCAAATTAAATCCACACATCACATTATTTTTGGCCAAGTAAACGTGTTGTGCAAGGTTTAAAATGCAAGGCCCTACCTTTTTAGCTGCTGAGTAACTACAACAACAAAAGCAGAATGGTCACATTGTTTAATCCCTTCATTTCTCGCCTCCTAACTCACTTTCCAAATGCAGTGATGAGATGGAGAGAAATTTGTCCAGAAACACATTTTCCAACTTTCCTTGGAGACCTGACCTTTCCAACATGACATCTGGAGACCTCCTTAAGCTCGATTTGAAGTTAGAGGACAGATTCCTGCCAAACCGTGCCCATCAGGGTGATGGCTCATCTGCATGAAGGGTGGCTACACAACAACCTCATCCATGCAGAGGATCGCTGGAAACCGGGAGCAGTCAACGATCACAAAGCTCTTCATTCCAACTACACACTGTGCTCAGAAACAAGAATGCCCGTACAGTTGGTGCACTCTGAGTTCCTGTACAGCTCTGGGCCTTGCTTCGTAGCCCGTAGCAGATTTCAAGGAGACAAGAGCACGTTTTCAGAATAAAAACAGGCAAGGAGGCAGGTGACAGGTAAACTATAAAAATAAGCACTCCACAACAGGGCAGACTGTGTCCCAAAAACTCTCTATAGTAAATGGAAACGAGTAATACCCAGCATATTCTGGTTAAAAGGGCAAAAAAATATATATGTTTTTAAACAGCCCCCATCCATGGTGGTTAAAAATAACAAGTTGGTTCCTGCGAGGTAAAGCTCCCGTTACCTGGAATCACTTTTACCCGCAAGCAGTGGTCCCCTAGCTTTTATTCCTGCTCTAACACTCAGATGCAAACCAAGTCCATAGTGCATCAAAGGCTGAGATTTTCAACTGAGGGGGACTGGGGGCCGCAGAAGCAAACTCTGAGAGGGCAAGTAGTTTGAAGGCTCCCCCAGGTGATTGTTTTAAAAAATCATTTCCCTACCCCCAGCTTTGAGGCTGACCGCCTTGTCTAAATAGACAAGATCTTCCCACCAGAAGGATCTTCAAATATGAAAGTCTCCATTTTTGACATTACTGAATCTTCTAAGGTCATCAAAGCCCACACTGAATATTTATGGATAAAATAATAGGTTGTCTGGGATTTTTCTCCACAATAATGGGGTGGGGGACTGTGAGGGGGACAATACTGGCCATGTTGACAGCTGTTGACGGTGGGAGACAAGGGTCACACCATTCTCTACAGCGTTGTGCATGCCTGAAATTTCCCATAGTAAAACGTTGGATTTTTCTCAATAAAAAAGTTTTTCTTAAAGGGTAATTTGTCAAGTAAGCTGGTAACATAGATAACAGTGCCAACGTTGCTGATATGTTACAGAAAACGGGGGTCAGAATTTTCCCTCCAACTGAACCCCTTTGCCCTTCCAAACTAAAACGTGTGTTTAACTAGACCAAACTGACAGTGTAAGTTCTTCAATTTTTAAAAGATGGCGGGAAAAATTCCTTCTGGAGATACAATGACAAGTTGGATAAAATGCAAAGGCCGATCAACCCGACACAAGATAGGGGAGTCTCCCCTGGCCCGCTGGCATCAGGTGGGGTGTATCAGAATACCTGAGTCTGGCTTACTTCTCAAAGGAGCCTTCTCTGCCTTTCATGCCAGGAATGCTTTGTCCCAAAGGACTCCATCCTTTGAGACCTCAGAAGCTGCAACTCTCCGATTCCAGCTCTCTTTGCTATCCGTGTCTACACCCACCGTGATGCAGGTCCGGGAATGCCAGAGCTGCTCTCAGCCAGGAACCAGAACACAACATCCCCTAGTGTCAGACACCAAGAAGGCGGTCATGAGCACCTCCATTTTTAGAGCAGATTCAAAGACGGGGCCACCTGAGCAGTATTCCCATAGCCCTACTGCCCTGAGATTAGTCCTCATGTCCCCATTTTACAGACGAGGGCACCCGGGCTGCAGAGGTTAAGAACTTGCCCCTCATCAGACAGACACTGACATTATCTGACCCCATTTCTTACTCAAAGAACCGTGCTCACAATATCCAGAATGGGGGCTGAAACTACAACCTGGCGATATAAGAATAACCCGACAATAGCAAGCTCCCACTTTCTGTTAGGACGACTGCGAGCCAGCCGCCACGGGCGGTGGACTTCATGCAGATATGGCAGACATGGACCCTGAGGCTGGTGACCAATTTTCAGCCCTGGGATGTCCTATCCAGAGGGCCTGGCACAGAACCAGAGTCCTGCCCCTGCCTCAGCACCCCCTATCCTGCCCGTCACTCCCCCACCCCCTGCCGCCATGCCTCCTACCTGGACGCTTGCTTTCCTTCCACAGCACCAGTCTGTGCTGCAGAGAGAGAATCCCAGCACGTCGCACGCAACCTCTTCAAAAACCAATTCCAGAAACACGATCACAAGAGCAGCCCAAGAGGCTTTCCAGCTTCGTCATATGACTCACTCATCAAAACAGAAGAAACTCCGCGGCGAACACACCTTTAACTTGCTTCGCCCTCCCCTGCGATGTGCACCCCGAGGGACCACAGGGACCGAGAGAGGGGCTCCCCTCTCCCCGTGAGAGCCTGCTGCAAGTGGCCTCCCCAGCAGTTTCCACACCTCCCTCCCCCGTTTCCTTCCTGCCCAGGCCTGAGTTCCCTCAACGCCCCTCACAGGTCCAGGGCTCTGGGAGGAGAGGACTCATCTGTGTCACTTCCTCTCCAAACATAAGCAACAGCCAGCATCTCTGCCAAGTCTCGGCACTGGGCCTGCCGGTCCGGAGCTCAGTTCCCGGGGACAGCGCCTGGTTCCCTGGCTCCTCGAGCTCCACCAGCCAGCCTCACCCAGATGGGGAGTCATGTCCACACAGGAGCCACTTCCAAGCGGTAGAACCAGGCTCCGAGGCCACCTCACTTTCTGCAGGTACAACATGGGGGTGATAACAGTGTCCATCACTCACTAGAGTGGTCGGGAAGATTCCGGGAGTTAGGAATATCCAAGTGCTGGCACCATTCGCGTGCGTGTTCTCGCTGCCCTTATCATTATTGGTGCCATTTCACCCAATGCTGCAGGAAATCCAAGGAAACCCAGCGCCTGCTAAGTAGCACAAGGATAAAAACTGCTTTCCACCAAACCAAGAGTCGGAGGGTTTTTGAAGTTAAGGAGACAAAACATGAGTGCAAAACAAGCAAGTACAGGTCCCACCGCCTGGGAACCGTGACAGGGTGCCCGGTGGGTTTCAGGTATGTGACCACTCCAGTGAGTCAGGGGACAGCCAAGCGGGTTCGAAAGTGTTCCGGGGCAATCGCTTCTCCGGAGCCAAGACGCTGAATCAGAGGGGAGAAGGAATGAAAACAGGTACGAACTGGTGTCAGCTGTAGAGAGTTGCATAATCCCAACTGAAGGAACCAAATGTTAATTACTGATGGGAGAAAACAAGGCCCCTAAACCAGTGGTTCTCAACCTTCCTAATGCCGCGACCCTTTAATACGGTTCCTCGTGTTGTGGTGACCCCCAACCGTAAAATTATTGTCGTTGCTACTTCATAACTGTAATGTTGCTACTGTTATGAATCGTAATGTAAATATCTGATATGCAGCAGTGGTTCTCAACTTTGGCTGCACATTAGAATCACCTGGGAGTCTTTTTAAAATCCTGATTTCTGGGCCTCATCCTCCGGAAATTCTGTTTCTTTGTTATGGGGTGAGGCCCCCCACCCCATAACAAAGAAACAGAATTTCCGGAGGATGAGGCCCAGAAATCAGGATTTTAAAAAGATTCCCAGGTGATTCTAATGTGCAGCCAAGGTTGAGAACCACTGCTCTAAACAGAGACAGTCATGCGACATGCAGACACCTCCATGTAGATAGACTACAAACACCCATGTACACATGCACAGCCTCGCCAGCTGTGTCCTTTCTTCTCTCCATCCCCTGCCTAGCAGACACACACATGCACACACGCACGCACACACACGCACACACGCAAACACACACACGCACACGCACATGCACACACACTATCTAAGTGGAAACGTGGGAAATCTTAGGTTGTACTAAGCAGCTCTCTGAGTGACATTACGAAGAAATGGCATTACCTGTCCAACCAAGTGCAGTACATTCACTGTTTTAAAACCCTTGTGTTAGCCTAGGACCATTCCTGTCACCCTGGCTGACCTCAAGCTGAAGATTTGCTCAGCTGCCCTGCCTGGGGCAGAGCAAGCCTGGGCCACTGGAGACAAGATGCTGCGTGTGGGATGGCTCTCCAGGCCTGGGGGGTGCCTGCGGCCCTGTAGGGTATGAGCACAGCAGCAGGAACAGGAGGGCAAAGGTCAAGTGCTTCGGTTCCCAAGTTGGACTGAGCTCTTAAAAGCTGAAAAACTTAAACATGCACAATTGCTGACAAATTCATCGCTAATGAACACAGCAAACTTTAAACCACTTAATCTCTGCCTTCCCTCAATACTCTATATAAGAAAATTTGGAATGAGTCTTCCTTCAGGAGTAGCATTGTCTCAGCTGTCGCTTATCATTTCAGCTATAAAATCATTTGAGTGATTTACATGCATGACATCATGTAATCCTCACGATCCCAATTTACACAGTAAACGTAATGAAGGAGGCTCCCTCCGCTCTCTTGATTTATACCTGTTTCAGAATGTTAAGGATTTCAAACTTCCCTG